AACCAAACTTCATCAGTTCGGCCTGATTCACCTCCTTCTCGCTTCTCAACCACATCACCTACTTGATTGCCCGCACTGCCCCCCTTTTTCTTCACTACAAAAGGCAAGGACGAAGTACAATCATCTTTCTGCTCCCCTCTTACCCAAAACCATTGAGGAAGGAAATCTGGAGGCATCTGTGAAGAACTTTTGGGAACATCTGAGCCAAGCCTTAAGCTTCTTTGATGACACATCGAGCCAAGATGAGTTCAAAGACCATATGCAATTGATTGAGTTGCTCATATGGTTGTGAAGAGTGGACTGCAGATCGAACCAGAAGAAATAAATATTCCAAGGTTCAATGGTTAAACACAGGTTGAACCGTATGACGTAACAAACATTAAAATTATTTTAATATAATTTAAATAGTAGAATAATGATATATTAATATCCTTTTTATTGATTCAACAAATAATATTTTGATATAAGATAATGTTTTTGAATCATGACACTAACCGTAGCGTCTTATAAACAACTGAGCAAGCAGGCGCCCCCAATACAACCCCTTAAACGGTGATGATGTCGGGAGGGAGTAAAAATTTTTAGTGATATTGGACTTGCAATTGACTTAAAATTTGGACTAATTGATCTTATAATGTGATAAATAAAAATACGGTCTTGCAATAAATTTTTTAAGCTAATCATTAGACTTAAAAATCTTAAATGTGGTATAAATAATAATCCATACAAAAATTTTGATAATTCAAGTGAAACCAGGATTTTATCAAATAGAGATGAAAATGATTAATGAATGACTCTTTAATTAAATGATTTGTTTAAAAAATTTTAAAGTTGTCACCAGGTTCACAACATATGTGCAAGTGAAAGAAAGGCAGGAGTTTTCATTAAAGTTTTAAGTGAACATATGCATGCATCAAACTACTTAATCAAATAAGGTGAATTCTCATGATTTCAAGTCTTATGTTTTATTTTTGAAGCAATTATTGATTCAATTCATACTTTAAAATTATGCAAATTGCCTTAAGACTTGTAAAGTTGTTTAAAATAGCAAAATATATGTAATGAAATACCTAAATGGGCTCTAGCTAAAATACTAAATATTTTAACAAACGACCAAAGATAGTTGTGTGGGTTAAAGTCAAACTATTAATCGCATAATTCAAAATTTGAAAATTCATTCAATTGTGTCACCTTGTCTATAGATCATAGTTGTAAGTCATACTTTACTAGTCTGATCCTCCTTGCACTGGAGTTGACGAGTCTAGTAATTTTAAAATAGTGTCTAAATCACAAATATGAGAATTTGAAAGTCCAAATCACTCAGTCTAAACCTTCTGCTAATCAGGACTGGAGTTGACAATACTAGTATTCTAAATATATCAAAATTAATAAATTCGAAACAAAAATATTTAAAATGTTCAAGTCTCTAATGATAGCTGAGTTTATAGAGGATTTCAACCGCAAGGGTTTATTTTCAAAATTAAGTTTCAAAGTTTAATTAAGTTCGTTCAAATACTACATCTACATATGAACCAAAAGCTTTATACACGGGATAGAGTTAACATTGTTCACATTTTATCGCACGTTCATATTAAAAGCCCGATCTTTTATTAGCCATGAGTAAAGTTGACAGGGCTCAAAACAAGCAATTAAATCGCCGATGATGGCTGCCTTGATAGAAAATTTTAATTGGAGGGGACTTCTTTCAAAATTAAAATTTTAAGTTAATTTGAATAAGTTCACACACAGACACTGTGTGTGTGTGTGTGTGTGTGTGTTTATAATGGAGAGACCATCTTTTGCTGAGGTGGTCACTAATCGTAGTGCCCCTGTAGAGATTGATTAAAAAAATCATTTTTTTTGCAAGTTTACTATGATACTTTGGAAGATAATAGAGGTCAATCTTTCGTGAGGAAGTAAGGTAAGAAAAACAGTAAGCTAACTATCTTTCTTTCTGAAAATGATACTTCGACTCTCTCCTTATTGGGAACCCGGTCGAGGTGCAAGTGATGTTGATCAGCCTAAGATGGCTGATCAAGGAAAATGGTGGAGCCGATAAAGTCGTGGTTGTTGGTCGAGGCACAAAAGGCACTGATCAGCCCGGGGCAGTCGATCAAGGTAATGTGCAAATGCAAGACACACCCATGCAATGCACACACATGCCAAAGACAATTCAAAGCATATGATCATGCTTGATACGAAACCACACTTATACTAGCGACCTATCCTGGAAGACCTAGAGTTTGACATTTGGATGTGCGGCATAGCCGCCTCCTGCTTTGGCGAGGTGTGTGGGGAGTTTCTTCACGAGATTCCCAACGTGGAAACTCTCCACGATGCCACGAAATGGACTAGCTACAAAGTTTTTTCTATTTCGTGAACTCCACAAGGCTTTGCAAAGTGAGCTAGAAACAAGACTTTTCCCACTTTGCAAAGACCTAAACAACCCAACTTCTCCAAAAAAAGTTGGGGAACCAAAGCAACGGTAGGTAGGGACTTCAATCCGCTGAGATTTTTGACCTAAATCTCATGGCATGAAATCACTTGGCTCTGTAAAGTGATATGGCCACAAATGAAATCCTTCCTAAGGCTTCCTCTAGGGAAAGTAATGGTCCATCACATAGGTAAAGTGGTCGCGCTGACTAACGTCGGCCTGTGCACTCACCCTGTGTGGGCGACCGAACCCACACGCCTAAAGCTACCTTAGGGCTATATAGGAAGGAAAGGTGCAAGAGTTTTGAATCTCACCATTGTAAAGTTGGTTTGACATCCATCGGAGTTCAAGAAGAAGCTCTCCTTAAAGGTAGGAGAGAAGTCCACGAGAATCCTTCCCAAAGGGGTGAGGAAGCTCTCCTTGTCTGATAGATTGCTAGAGCTCACCGAAATTGCCCTACCTCCAAGCTAGGATGACACTTTCCTTTGGTGTAGGAGAGTAGATGCCTTGCTTGCTGAGTTTTTTCTTAAAGAAATCTCCTCACACACTCAATAAATGGGGTGGAGAAGAAGGAAAAAGATGAGGAAGAAGGAGGTTGAAGGAGAAGAAGAAATGAGGGATGTGAGCTTCCTTAGCCTTTCTCCACTTGAGGAAGGTGATGATCTTCCTCACCAAGCTCTCTCCAAGTAACTCTCCTTAGAAGAAACCCTAAACCCTATGGTCTCAGAGAAGGAGAAGCGCTCAAGGAAAAAGAAGAATCGAAGGGGGCCTACTTCAGAAAATGATCGAGAAATCCTAACAAATGGGATATAAATCATTAGTTAAGGAGCAGCACAACCCCCTCTAAAGATGTCAATGAAGCTTCTAAAGTGAGAGCAAAAGAGGCCTTTCACACCATCTTTTCCTCACCCAAAGCTCATGATCACATGGCCTGCCTGCGCATTGCAAGCCTAAACGACGCCCGAAAACTGTTAAAATCCGTCATCCGGGAGAAACCGACACTTTCGATCATTGGGCACTCAGGCACCAGTCTGGCGCCTAGGCACCACCCATGCGGTGCCTAAATTTCATGCTCTCGAAAAAAAAAAGCTATTTTTTGTCTGTTTTAGGCACCTACGGGCCTGGGCACCCGACATTGTGTCCAAGTGCAAAAAAATAAGTCTCAGTCCTTTGGAGGCTTGGGATTGATGGTCTAGAATTTTCGGTTCGTCAGTGCCCAGGGTCGACACCGGGGTGTCAGTCTAGCCTGAAACCTTAATTTTCGTCAAGGACGCTTGAGGAAGCATTTTTTTTCGATCCGTAAGTTATGGGAGACTCCATATGAGTAAAATGTTGTCCCATAACTATAAAATGGAGTATTCTCATTGATCATTCACCGAGGAAATCGGTGCCAATGGTCATTCCAAACCACAACACGGGTAGGGTGTCCCAAACCCTAATTTTGTCATAGCGCGCGTAAAAGGATTCTGTAACTTCCCTTGGCCATGAGAGGTTCCGGACGAACACATGGTGACTTCTAAACATCCATTAGGGACCAAACACATCTCATACCTTGAACGAACCTTTTCAAAAGGGGTTCTCCTCGGTAGGGCTGAATCACCGCCAACCCTAGCAACTTGCCCCAAACAAGAGCTAAATAGTTTCAGGTGGGTGCCTTGAGCTATTGATGGCACAAACGGGTCACAAACAGACCGTAGACCACCCTAAATTGTGCAAGTGGACACACTGTACTCGGGACATCAAAAAT